GTGTGTGTGTGTACGTGTGTATACACGTGTGTGTGTGTGTACGTGTGTATACACGTGTGTGTGTGTGTGTGTACGTGTGTATACACGTGTGTGTGTGTGTGTACGTGTGTATACACGTGTGTGTGTGTGTGTACGTGTGTATACACATGTGTATATATACGTATGTATATGTACGCGTGTGTGTATATATACACGTGTGTGCGTGTGTATATATACACGTGTGTGCGTGTGTATATATACACGTGTGTGCGTGTGTATATATACGTATGTATGTATGCATGTGTACATGTATAGTATATATACAAGTGTACATGTTTGTGTACATGTACGTGTGTGTGTGTGTATACGTATGTATACGGTATATATATGTGTGTATATATATGTGTGTGTATGAGATACAATTACATTGTAAAGAGGCACAACACACAAAGATATATGAATATGTCAGACATTACACATTTGATGACCCTTTCATCTCATTGATCCACATGATTTTTCATGCTTTTAAATAAATTCTCTTATAGATAAATGGAGTATTGCAGGTGTAACGTGTTTAAATCCCTCAGGTCACTTAACAGTTTAAACACTTAAATCTTCTGATTGAAAAATACATAATCTTTACTACATATTTATAGTTTCACAAGATTAAAAGTTCACAACTTCCTTCTTGAACATGTGACCTGCATGCTGGAACCCGATTAGCCACAAAGTAGTTGTGATGTTAGAAGATGCTCCAGGTGATGCAGTGAAAGTATCCAAGTATATTTACATGACTACTGTACTTACAACTTTGTGGTACTTGTACGTGACTTGAGTATTTCTATTTCCTGGTACATTATACTTCTACTCCACGTCTCAGAGGTACATATTGTACTTTTTACACGCATTGATTTAGTTACTTTGCACATTAAGATTATTAATTCAAAATGTATTCAACAAATAAATGATGTATTATTGAAGATAGAGACCCGGCAGTAAATATAGAAAAACATAAACTCCACCTTTACCAACATTAAAGGTATGAACACATTAATGCAGCAATACTTGCTTTGATGCTGGTACTTGTATATGTGAGACTAAAGGGTCTCATGAGCACAACCCTGAATAACAGTTTAAATGTATAAAGCTAATGCTTTCACTCCCGGGTTATGGCCGGGTAGGTTCAGACCTGCTTATTTACAACGATGAACAATGCTGCTAATAATGCACCTCCCACTATTACACCTCTAACTAATACATCGTCAAAGAATGCGTGGCCTCCTGCAGCTCCTCCGGCCTTCGTTGGTGGAGCCACCTTCTCCATTTCTCTGCACCATGTTGTTGATCTTCTGCAGCAGCTCGACAAATTGAGAGGGATCCGGGTCTGTGTTGTCCACGACGTGGTATCCCCCGTAACATTCCCTGATCAAGTCTCTCACGGCTGGATCTGCTCCGATGAGCTCCTGCACGGAGCGTCTCTCTGTCCTCAGCTCGTCTCCGTGGGTCAACAGGGCCACGGTGTAATGTGCTGTCTCTTTGCCAAAGGAGCTCTGGATTATCTGCACCGTTTGCCGCTCGTCTTGTGTGAACCTGCCGGTCTGCATCACGACCAGGAACACAACAGGGCCAGGTGAAGCATGCGACAAGCACCTCTGGATCTCCTTCATCACTTCAGAACTTGAGCGTCCAAACAGACCAGGAGTATCAACCACAGCCAGGTTCTGTTCATTCAGCTGTCCTCGTTCCATCTGGCACGTCTGTGTCACTGCGGTAGAAGACAGACGAGACTGGAACACCTTTCTCATCAGGATGGTGTTTCCTGTTGCACTCTTACCAACTCTAATCCCCCAATCAGCACGATCTTCAGCCCTTTGGGCGGCTGAGAACCTGTAATTGTAACACGCTCATTATTGATCGTTAGCTGACAATAAACCCGATTCTGATTATCTTCTGACATCCTTTATAATAGTTGATTTTATTTTAATGTGCAAACATTCTACCTGTTGAATGTAAAGAGTGTTGTGTAAAAGGGGCTGCATCACATCTGTGCTTAGATTAACTGTGTAAATTCTCCATGAAATGAAAACAGGAACAATAGAACAATTACTGAACAGCTAGAAAGAGACACAGACTCATGAACCACAATAAAAAGGGGTAGAACTACAATTACAACGGGACACAAACCAACAACAATGAGACACAGAAGTGACTCACTGAGACCCCACGAGAGGCTAACATGTTTGGCTGTAACTATTCTGTGTGACAATAGAAGGAACCACAACTTGTTTGAAACTGGCTGGACAACATTCCTGTGGAAGGAACGTCTTTACCTTAAGGTAACCTCTTCGGTCTGAGGCACAATAACAAGAAGGTGCAAATCCAAAGTACATATAGTACAATACGATGCCAACATCTATCTATAAATGTCGATATATGTAGACACCTTGCTTGGAAATGTAGATTACATTTTTACAATTTAGCAAAAAGGAACGACAAAAATACATGAAAACTACCTGACTTATATCAGTGAGAGTACTTTATATAATAAATATACTAACAAGGTAGAAAACTACCTGACTTGTATCAGTGAGAGTACTTTATATAATAAATATACTAACAAGGTAGAAAACTACCTGACTTATATCAGTGAGAGTACTTTATATAATAAATATACTTACGAGGCTGAAAACTGGCCATGATTGACTTGTTAAAGCAGCTGCTGTTTACATGAGAATTAGTTTAATTTTCATTTCATGGTTCCCTCCCTCTCACCCTGTGTGACTCCCTCTATCACCCTGTGTGACTCCCTCTATCACCCTGTGTGAGTCCCTCTATCACCCAGTGTGAGTCCCTCTATCACCCAGTG